GATGACAGTTGACCTCCTTCATCCTCTCTCATAGATATGTAGGATTTCAGTGATATACGATCTTCCTAGGTAAAACATATTTCTCATATACGTGCAATTTTTGATTTTATGATTTTTGCGCACCAATCTTCACACGACGATGAAACTATTTTGTGGAATTCTGGGATTTTTATTTTTGTTCTTCCACTATGCATGTAATGTCGCCCTTATTTTTTTGGAGTCTACCTTTCCATTTCAAAACCCTAAGTCTCCTGTTATGTGACCTACTCCAACAAATATGCATCACTAAAGTACATCGTTGATCCCATCAAACGAGTCTCCTACAACACCATCCAGTCCTTCTCCTCATGATCTACACTCTCTACTTCTCTCGGTTCAGCAGCTCCTCACTCCCTCTATTGCTCCTCTCCTTCTTTACAAGGTTCTCCTACTACTAAAGCAATGCCCTCGGAAATACAATCACTACCTTTATCCTCTTTTGGGACTAGTAACACTGAAGTATCTCAGCTTGCCCCAACCCATGTCAATGCCTCTCCACCGCTCATGCCTACAACATAACCTATAGCTCCTAGACATCTAATGACAACATGCTCCAAAAATAGTACCTTTAAACCACGACAAGTCCTTAACCTACATGCTATCACAAAATCCTCGTTAGAGACCAATGAACCTACCATAATTACTCAAGTCCAAAAATCTCCATATTGGTGTAAAGCTATGTATGAAGAATATGATGCCCTCCTCCATAATTCTACATGGACCCTTGTACCCTCTCATCCCACACAAAATATCATCGGGTGTAAGTGGATCTTTTGAATTAAGCGGAACTTAGATGGATCTGTTGCCAGATATAAAGTGTGTCTAGTGGCTAAAGGGTTTCATCAATGTCCTGGTGTTGACTTCATAAAGACATTTAATCCTATTGTTAAACCCATAATAATCCGACTTATTCTAAGTTTGACCATCTCAAAAAGTTGACATTTATGACAACTTTATGTTAACAATACTTTTTTATAAGGGACCCTAATTGAAGATGTCTTCATGTAGCAACCTCTTGGGTTCATCCACTCTCAGTATGCAAGGCATATTTGTAAACTACAAAAAGTTATTTATGGACTTCGTCAAGCTCCAAAAGCTTGGTGCATCAAACTTGGCTCGTGGCTCGTTTTTTACATCAATTAGCTTTATCAACTCCAAGTCTGATACATCACTATTTCTTAGTCACCAAAGTAGCAATACAATATATTTTCTAGTATATATGGATGATATTATTGTCATGAGCAACAATCCTATAGAAATTAAGGCATTCCTCAAGAATTTGGCAAATCAATTCTCCCTCAAAAATCTAGGAATCTTGAGCTATTTTTTGGTAGTGTAAGCAACATATACATCTTCAGGACTCTTCCTATCATAAAGAAAGTATATTCAAGATTTGTTATTAAAGACGAATATACATGACGCAAAAGCGGTTATAACTCCTCTATCTACTAGCGAGTCACTCAAACTATATGATGGAAGCCCTTCTACGGACCCAACTCAATACCATCAAGTACTTAGCTCCTTATAGTACTTATCTCTCATCCGTCAAGATATCTCATTTGCGATCAATAAATTATCACAATTCATGCATCGGTCATCTATTATGCATTGGTCTATGGTTAAACGAATCTTATGATATCTTCATGGGACCCTCAATCATGGCCTCTTTTTTCGTAAATATTCCCACATTCATCTTTTCATCTTTATTAATGTTGATTGGGTAGGAAACTTTGATGATGGAATATCCATGTCGGGGTATATTATCTTTCTTGGAGCTACTCCAATCAGTTGGAATTCTAAGAAGCAAAAACAGTTACACGATTTACAATTGAAGTTGAATACCATGTCATTGTAACCGTTGCTATAGAACTCAATTGGGTTAGAAATTTACTCAAGGAACTTGACATCAACTCTACCTCTACTCCTACCATATATTGTAATAATGTCGGAGCCACTTACCTATGTGACAAACCAGTATTCCACTTACACATGAAACACATAGTCATCGACTTTCACTTCGTACGAGAATAAATTGTCAGACATCAACTACGTGTTTCTCGTATACATATGACTGATGAACTAGCAAACTTACTCACGATACCTCTCATATACATAGTAGCTAAGATTTTTTTATGATAGCAGCTAAGATTTTTCCAACTACATAAAAAAAATATCATAGTTCTATTGAGAAAAATCTTCTTCCTAATATCTTTTTCTTTTCATTCTTGACGGTTAACCCCTTAGTGGCTTATCTTGCTATCTACCAACGAGTTAGCAACTGTTTTATCAAAATTAAAGTACAGATAGATTCAGACCTTACCAGCAGCATCGCTGTTGATAAATCTGAAAGATTCATGAATGACCAAAAACCTCTGCAAGTTCACGCAATATTTATTTCTTTCCTTTTCGTACAACCAATTATGTCATGCTCTACAAGCTGCTTTCCAGGAAAACATGTGCAGGCAGCGCCAAACTCTAGCATGCAACTTAGAATTTAACATGGTTCGTGATGCACATACTGCCCAAAAGTCAAGCACCGACCCTCGTCAGCCGATACACTCGAGGCTGCCCTTTCAAACTGAACTACGCAGCAAATTGAGTGCCTACGGGTGTTAGATGTAAGTTGTAGCAGGCTTGTGGCAGTCTTACTCTAGTCACACAGTTTGCTGCAGTCGTGTACAGATCGGAGCGATCACTATAGCAAGATTACCGGGCAGATTGGTACCACTTAGTCATTCTCCTCAGTAAATAAAAGTGTATTTAAAAGACTGGAGAGATCTGAGTTGATTTAAATCACAGAATTTTTTTTTTATAAATTTATATCAAGCTAAACATATCATGATATGATAAAGGATATCAACTAAACATATATAAGATATTAACAACTAAAAGAGAAGGATCTCTATATGTTCACCACCTGTTCCTCTCTCTCCAGTTGTCAACACTTGTTTGTCACTGACCTTGCTCTTTTGAAGACTTGAAAGAAGAAAGAGGGTCATGCTATATTTATAGGATGAGTATCATAAGAACCCTAGTGCTAATCTATTTAAGATTTCTTTACTTGATTTTTAATCCTAATCCAATTAAAATTTCTATTAAATCTCCATCTAATCTAGATATAGTCCTAACCTAATTAGGAGATACCATATCCACAATAAATTATCAGAATATCCTTAATTAATTTTAATCTAGATTTAATTATAAAAAATTTAAGATAACCCTAGGTAGAAATCCAAATATAACACAACTAGTTAAGTCTCTATCAAATGAAATGAAGGTGCATACAACATCAAAATCTAGGAGTTGTGCGTACCTCAAGTTGGAATCCCGGGCATTAAGGGGGTGGAAGATACGCCTCTTTGCAAAGCTGGTGTGCTGGAGGTGGACAGCTGATCTCACCCTTCAAACTTACTGGTTTCCCATGTCAAACTCTCATGACAAGGAGCAGCTTCAATATCCTATTGGGTTGTCTTGAAGGATAAGATACATAATTCAATGAACTTCCACAGGTGAAGCATAAACACATGCATGCCATCACTGTTTTCACTGAGAGCAAACTTTGGCTTTACATAGGGTGGGAGCAAGGAAGGAAGGTTCAGTGTCTCCATCACATGGATTCCTGCTGCGAGAAAGCATGTCATGTAAATAACAAGACTTGATTAGATCTGTAGATAAGGGAGAGATTAGAGAATGATTGGAATAACTTGTATCGTATCGATCGACGCGCTTGTTAGGTTAATTAAGTCTGTCAGAATTAGTCTAGTAATCAATAGTTTACAGTGGTGAAACCCTAGAAGATGACAGCACATGGAAGGTGTGGTTGTAGCTGGTGGTGGTGAACTAGTTTATCTACAATGTACATATATATATATGACCCCAACTCTTCTTTGTAAGCCCTGCAGCTGTACATCTTCTCCTAATGGAACTCTCGTCCTCCCTCTTTAAAGGTTCCATTCCAAAGGAACAGTGGCCACGCCAATATTGCAGAATACTTCACAGCTCCCAAGTTTCTTTTTTGCAGGGTTTTACAGAATCGATATCTGCTATGGACGAACAAAATGTCATTTGCTATGACACTACAAACTCAAGAAGATTTGGAGAGATAGAGATAGATCTAAAAGTTTTTCTATTGGAAACTATAAATTATTAACGATTATAAATAAAATTTTAATTAAGAATGATTGCATAAAATATAGGTTGATTTAAATTATTTAAAATATTCCAAAAAAAAAAAGATAATAATGTACGCGTTGAATACATCTACTGTTAATGGACCGATCAATGACTCCCCTCTACTTAACAACCTCCACCCAGATCGCTAATATGTGAAGACGGATGCCGCGGCCCCACCCACCGGCGTCCGGGGCCCGCGGTGTTCGACGGCCCCGAGTCCTTCTCCCTTGTGATTTGGCTTGTATGTACCGTGTTGTCCCGTTGCGGCCTACCGCGATGTTTCGGGGAGCGTGGGACGATGAGTCGCCGCGTGTCATATCGCCATCAAATAATTGGACCTTAGGGAGGGGGCCCCACTCGCACGTCAACATTTGATTTCATTTATTTTATTTTCTCTACTTTTCGTTATGTTGGAGGATATTCTTCGAAGCGTTTCTCTCCCATTGGCTGATAGGAAAAAACAAAATCAACAATTGGTGATCATAATTAGATGTCGGAGGTTGGCGATGACAATAATTGTAGGTGGTATTGGGACGATAATAAACGACAAAAATTGATCCATAGGTGATGGGTTATGAGCGATGCGGGTGAAGGATGGAATTGACGCTCAATGTTGTCACCATCAAAAATATTTTTCTATTAAAATCAAAAACTGAAAACAATTTCTTTTATAAGGATCGCTTAAAATGTTTTTTTTAATCTTTAAAAACGAAAGGAAGTGTTTTTGGAAGGAAAAGCAATGCCAGGGGCCGCAAAGGGGTATTAATTCTACCACATGGGAGGGTTACTTCCGCTGCTTCCCACTCGGGACTGGGTAAAAGAGGAAGGGCGTGGTGGCCACGAGGAGGTCAGGGATCAAACAGTGGGCGACCTCAATCCATTCATTTGGTGGCCGTACGGGAAGCCCGATCGATTGCTAGCAGAGGAAAAGAACGAATTCAATTCAAGCGGAAGTGTGACACGGAGAACTGAGAGCGAAGGCAGCACCAGATTCGGGAGGGCGAGGAGGAGGACGGGGCCAGAGCTCGCCCAAAACCCTCCAAATCGCGGTCCTCGGGCCACCCGATCTCGGAGATCGAGGCTCCACACCCCCTTATCCGATTTATTTAGTCCAAATTCGTTTTTTTTAATGGGGTAGAAGTTGAATTTTTTAGTGCCGAGGTTCTTCCAATCGACAGAGAACGTGAGGAAATTGGAAAGGTTTGGTGGCCGGCCCGGAGGGAGAAAGGTTGCTTGGATCTGACGGCGGTTCCCCAGCTTTTTAATGGGAGGCCAGGTGAGCATCCTCTTCTCTCCTACTCTCTTCTGGTTATGCTTCCTTTCTGGATCGGTTTTATCTTCTTTTCTTGGTCAAGATCGTTTCTTTTGATGTGATTTCCAGTTCTACTTCGTCAAAATCGGATTTTGATGAGCATTTCTCCGTTTCGTGGTTCGGGCTTTCTAATTATCCTTAATTGGTGTCGGAGATCAAGGCCCCGTTCATAGATTTGTCGAAGTCGGCATGTCCTACTCTCCTTTTTAATACGAACCGTGTCTTACTTAGTTGTAATGGGAAGCAACAGAGAGTCTAGATTCGTTGCCTCCACTGCTCGGGTCGGAGGTGTTGAATCTTAGCATTCCGAGATGGAGATTTTGCAGAGATTTGATCCTTTTGTTTATCCTCCCCTTGCTTGCTGTTTATAAGGGCAGCGGGATGTTATACTGAGATGTACTTCCTTGTCGCATGGTTCTAAAGTGATAAATCATGGCTCAAGATTTCACCTTACAAGAAGAAGAGGATGAAGTGTTCTTCGACTCGAGAGACTACGTCTCGTCTGTCTCCGATTCGTGTCCCGGAAGCCTGGCGGATAATGGTTTGTTCCCTGAAGACCAATTCATCAGTTGGCCACGGGTTCTTCCCCAGGTCTGGATCAAGGATCCTGTCAGCGTGAGGGAACGGCGGGACAAGTTCATGAAAATTTTTGGTGTGGATATGATGAACAGCTCCCCTGAAGAATCAGATAGTCCTGATGAAGAGCTAAAGGTGGATGGTGATATTGAGCCGGATATTGGTAGAGTCATGTCAGACTGTGGTGCTGTGCTAAGAAGCCCTTGTTCAGGGGGCAATTGTTCTATGTCCAGCTTGTCCAATGAGGAGATGGGTGCATCATGCAGTGCGAATAATTTAGGCAAAGATGGTAGCTTAAGAAGCCTTCATGAAGTTGGTTATAATAGGAGTTCAACACTTCATGAACTTGAGAGAAATTTTGGTCCATCATCCTTGACCCAGCAGCTTATGAGGAAAGAAGATGATGCATCAATCATATCTAAGAAGTCAGTAGAAAGGACAAAGATTGGATGGCTCAGAAGATTGGGTGCTGCTGCTTGCATGTTGGATAGGCAAGGGGACAAGTGTAGTTCCAATTTTTCTAACTTTTGCAGGGGTGGAAGTACTAAGACTCAAAGGGTCAAAGTCCACCCTTACAAGAAGCGATCAAAGGAATTATCTGCAGTCTACAAGCGGCAAGATTTCAAAGCCCATAATGGTGCCATCTTAACCATGAAGTTTAGCCCCGATGGTCAGTATTTAGCTACCGGAGGTGAAGATGGAGTTGTGCGTGTGTGGTATGTAACGGAATGTGAAAGAACAGATGAAAAAGACATTCTTGGAGATGATCCTTCATGCATATTCTTCACAGTGAATGACACTTCTGAGTTAACTCCTCTCTATGTTGACGAAGAGAAAAAATTGAAGTCCAGAAGCACAAGAATAACTTCAGATCCAGTGTGTGTTGTCATTCCTCCTGAAGCTTTTCAGTTGTCTGAGGAACCACTTCATGAGTTCCATGGGCATGATGGGGATGTTTTGGATATTTCATGGTCAAATAATAAGGTCAGTTAACATTTTTACACTTTGCTTCTATACTGAAGGATAATTTATTGATATAGACTTTTAGTATTGCACGAATCTTTTTCTGATTGTGAGATTTATGCTTTTGTCAGTGCTTACTATCATCATCTATGGACAAAACTGTTCGCATGTGGCAAGTTGGTTCCGAAGACTGTGTCAAAATATTCCCTCACAATGATTACGGTAGGTAATTCCCTTTGATGTTGTTATGTTGCCATTATCTGTCATTCACATAATTTTAGCTCCAGTCAGTTCGTTGGTCTCACAAGTTCTTTTGCATCATCCGATGAATTATGCAGTGACATGTGTGCAGTTTAATCCTGTAAATGAGGCCTACTTCATCAGTGGCTCCGTTGATGGTAAAGTTCGTATATGGGAAATTTCAGTATGTCGTGTTGTGGGTTGGGTTGATACTAGAGAAATAGTCACTGCAGTTTGCTACCGTCCTGATGGAAAGGTGTGTTGATATTGTTCTTTGTAGTTGTTCTTAAAGAGTTTTGTCATTGTGAGACTTTCTATAAAAAAAATGTTTTCCTTTTGTGCAGGGAGCAGTTATTGGCACCTTGGCAGGCAATTGCCGCTTTTATGATGCATCAGGTAAATGTGAATCTTCTAACATGATAGTGTTTTTTTTTTCTTGTTGACATCTTTATACATAGTGGAATACCGTGATCCTCATAAAAAGACTACATTCTTATTCACCTAGACTGAGAACTAAGTCTTCTTTACCATGTTGATCACTTTCATATGTATGTTTTTATTCCCTTCACGGATGCTTGATACACTTTCTGGATATGTACTTAGCTCCAATAAATCCTGCAGACCAATACATCGCACTCTTTCTGACTCTGTTGCTCCATTGAATGGATTTGAGTTTGGAGTTTTCGTCATTATTTGTAATAATGAGAAATCTTGCTACAGTTTATCTCGTTACCTCACAGGATTGTATATGTTACTTATTGCTGTTTTTCTGCATGGATCAGATAATCATCTGCAGCTAGATGCTCAGGTCTCCTTGCAGGGCAAAAAGAAGTCCTCAAAAAGGATAACAGGATTTCAGGTAACTTTCTGCAGAAGTGACCCCTATATGGTTGATATTTCATATCTGTATTTGCCAACTTCATGTATGCTGTTTGTCTATTACCATTTCTATCTTCTTACAACTTTTGGTTCCATCTCCAGTTTTGCCCAAGCAATCCTCACAAACTGATGGTATCTTCTGCTGACTCACAAATCCGAATTTTTGATGGCATTGATGTGGTTTCGAAATTCAAGTGTATGAAATCTTGCCCTATTAGTATGATCCATTTATTCCAGGACATTCATTCGCAGACCAATAGTCCTTATGTGTCTCGTATAATTGCTATTCACAGGTATCCAGAACTCTGGAAGTCAGGTCTCTGCATCCTTCACTGCAGATGGACAGCATATCTTTTCTGCCAGTGAAGACTCCAATGTCTACATGTGGAGCCATCATGCTAGCGATGTGGCACCCACATCTCACCACGTGAAGAGCACCTGGTCTAGTGAGCGCTTCATTTCGAGCAATGCATCTATTGTGATACCCTGGTGTGGTCTGCAGTGCAGAAAATCAGGAACAAACACCTCTGAGGTCCCCCATTTGCAAAAGGATGTCTTCAGGGAGAATGCTGGGCTCATAGGATATGACTTTAATTGTCATATAAAAGATTTGATTGGTAAATACACCTTGAATTTATCGCCTTCCAGTTGTTTCTCTCTGAGCCATGAGTTCTTGGAGTCTCTGCGGAAGAGCTCTGCAACTTGGCCGGAGGAGAAACTTCCCTCAAACTTTGTTGCATCTACCTTCTACAAGTCCCACTACAAGTCCCTGAAGACTTTTCGCCAGACCACCTCACATGCCTGGGGTCAGGTTATAGTTGCTGCTGGATCAGATGGATGGATCAGATCTTACCAGAATTATGGATTACCACAACATCTATGATTAGTTTGGCCTGCACATGGTCGTATCTTCTTTTTGCCATAGTACCACTATATATGCTTTTGGCAGTACCTCTTTCACACCGCTCTATTATGTAAGTAGAACATACAAAGGAACACATCTCCAGTGCTTCTGCCAATTCTACATGGATCAGAATTATACATAAGCTGGTAGGACACAGAGATATTGACGCCATCAAAAGATCAAGCTAGGCGGATAAGGCTTGAATTCTTTGTACATTTGTGCAGTGTAGGTGAGATTTTTGGATTTGGTATTTTTTCTTGTATCAGCTTTGGACACCTTTGGGTTTCCTGATATGTCATAAAAACATTTGGCAATATTGGTGTAAAGCATCCCCATTGTCTAAGGCGGCAACCGGCAGATGAGCTGGGTGAGGGTTAACTTGTACTTTCGGATAGAGGATACTCATTCAATTATATAGATTCTTTCAAGTATTTCCTATCTGATTGAATTGCTATGGTTGGTCATGGTGGGTTGAACCTTGTCCTGAGGTCTGAATTGGGGTGTTCATCTTCTAGAATTTGCTCCTCTTGTAACTACTCACGGTAGGCTTTGCATGTGTTTGAAGGGTTCTTTCTGGTAAACTTTGTATTCATCTTGATTTATGGATGCTTGGAAAAGTTAAACTGGTGACCTCATTTCATTGATGTTTTGGTCTTTTTCTTTCCAAAACCTGCTACTGCCTCCAAAATGATCCATTGCTACATAGGACTGAAACACAACCATAGTCTAATTCTGTCAATCACGATTCAGATGGCTCCACTTGCTGAGACCTCGCACCCAAGTCATCTTTGTTTATTTATCATAGAATGAGTCTAACATGGTTTAGGAAAAGTGAGAATCTCTTAAAGCAAATGAAGTATAGGATATTTGTGTTTGACTTATTGCTTAATTACACAGAATTTTGCTTTTCGTTGAAGATTATATCTCGCTAAATAAAAAGTTTAGGTTGCACGATCCAGATAATTCTTAGTATGATGGATAAACCTGTCAAATGCCTTTGTGATGGACATTAATGTCAGCACAAAATTGATGCGAGAACAGAGCAATATAGATTTCGAGAACAACCATAAGGTGACCTCTTTCCACACCTTTCTGATACAACCAAATGTGATTTGATTACAAGTATAATGCGGGCGCACGCACCTATGCATCCATTGATGTGTTTATTGGACATCCTTTTTGATTTGGGGAAAACTTCACATGGACGGAAGCTGCTTGAAAGAATGAAATCAAAGTGCTTTCGAGGTATGACACATCAGAACACATGAGAAGATGCACGGCACAGCAGTTGGTGATGATGATTCCAAGTGGCAGATCAACACCTAGGCAAGTCGGCCGGAGGATGGGGAAGAGTCTCCAGGGGCCCCTCGCCGTTCTTCACGATGAACGCCATCGACAGGCCCCAGGTCAGGTGCACATCAAAATGGCAGTGCATGAACCACACACCTGCATGCAGCGTGCATGACGCGTGTTCTAAGAGGCTGTGTCTACGAGAATTTAGTGGGTGTTAGGACGATGATACTGAGAGAGGTCAGTAGTACCTGGATTGTCGGCGACGAACCGGATGGCGGCCCATCCTCCGACCGGCACTCCGATGGTGTTCATGTATGGCGGATCAACCAGGTTGAGCTTCGCACCCATGGGGTTGTAGTTCCCTGTTCCGTAGCCCACAACATAGAAGTTGTAGCCATGGAGATGGATAGGGTGGTTCTCGGTCGTCACGGTGCCGGTGTTCTGCAAGATGAGCTGCACCCTGCTCCCGTACTCGAGGACCTTCACTTTGGTCCCGATCAGGGACTGGGTGTCGTTGGGGATATTGTTGGGCGCGCCATTGACGAAGTCGTAGGTCTTGAGCGGCACGCCGGGGAAGTCGTCCGTGTACAGACCATTGATGTTGTTGTAGTAGGCCTGGAGGAGCGAGATGTTAGGCTTGACGAAACTGACGTTGTTCATCGACGCCGCGAAGACGCCGCCGCTGGGTCCCTGGCAGCTCTTGTTGGGGTTGGAGGAGTGGCATTCCTCCACGTTCAAGCCGACGGTGAAGAAGAGGTTGGCGTCGATCTCGGAGGGGAGGTTGGTGGCGTTGAGGCTCCGGAGCATGTGCAGGTTGGTGTTGACGACGAGGTTGTCGTTGTAGACGGGGAGCTGGGCGGGGAGGCTGAGGTCGTCGAGCGTGGCTCCGGTGTACTGGAAGTGGGCAATGGCGGAGATGTTTTGGAAGGTGACGTTCTGAGCGGACATGTACGGCCCCATCGCCATGTCGTACCGGTCGATGGGCTGGTCGGCCTTGACGAGGACGTTGATGGTCTGCCCCGGAGTGATCATGAGGCGGTCGACGGTGAACGGCTTGGTGTACTCGGCGTCGGCCTCCACGATGGTCAGCTTGTGGCCGGCGATGGCGAAGAAGTGCTCCATGTTCAGGGACGCGCTTATCAGCCGCAGCAGGTACGTCTTGCCGGGGACGACGTCGATCTTGTACACATCTGGAGACAAGAAACCAGTCGTGTGACAATCACCAACAAGAAGCAATGGTAGCAGCGAGAGCAGGGTAGGCTACCAGTAGCCGAGCAGTTGTAACGCGGCCCAGGGTGGCTGTTGATGAGGTACGCCTCCGCAGGTGGAGGGCCGCCGCCGCTGGCGACCACCTCTTTCTCCAGCTGCAGCATATCCTTGTGCCAGTATTCCCCTGAGACGAGCTTTGCAGCTTCAGCAAAACCTCGAACCATCTCTCCTCGAAGCTCATGGGAAGGGAAACGACATTACCAAAGATGAGGACGTGCTCCTCGTAAGGGTAGGGAAAGGGGTAGGGGACGCTGGTCTTGGGGTAGATGACGATGGCGCCGTTGACGGTGGCGCGGAGCCATGAGATATGCGCGTGCCAGAACAGCGTCCCCTTCTGCTGGAACAGGGTGAACTCGTAGGTGAAGCTCTGCCCAGCCTGGATCGGGCATTGGGTGATGTAGGACGGCCCGTCCGCCCAGCACGACAACCTCTGCCGCACTCCATGCCTACAATGCACAGATGGAGAGGACGCCATGATTAGTTCTCGGCATGCGCTGTGAGTTTGGTACCGCATGAGCAGCGTAGACATGCAGTAAAATGAGCCGGGTGGCAAGATTATTACCAGTGGATGGTGGCGTTGTGCGGGCTCTCGTTCGTGACCGTGACGATGATCCGATCATCTTCCTGGGCGTAAATGACCGGGCCGGGGAACATACCATTGACGGTGACGATGTCCTTGGTCTTGCACAGCTTCGTGACCCTCGTCGTTTGCACCTGCGCGCATAACATTCACACACAGTCCAGCCATCAAACAAGCAGATTTCCATGACAAGCTTTGATATCAATCTCAACTTCACAAAGAAACGACCCTTCGTTCTAATACTCCATGCAATAAAGGAGATTCTACAAATGACTAAATCTCTCTATCTCTCTGTCCTCTAAAAACTTACGCAACATATCCTCAATGAAAAGCCTGCAAACTAAGAACAGAGACATATGTGCGCATGCAGACAAAGATAAGAACGGAGACCTTGAAGTCGTAGAACCTGGTGGATCCTCCTACAGGCCAATGTCTGCGAGCAAGGCCGAGTGGAACATAACATGACAGCAAAAAGCTCAGCAACAGGATGTGATGAGAAGAAGACAAAGCCATCTTCCTACTGTTTTTGTACCTCTTGTTGTGCACATTGGATGGAAAAGGAGCGGTCTGCTTATATACAATTGTTGGATTGAAGCGTGGAAATGACTGAAGCAAGAGAGAGAGAGAGAGAGAGAGAGAGAGAGAGAGAGAGAGAGAAGCAAGGGCAGAGCTTTGTCCAGATGTGCGGGAGAGAAGCAAGGGCAGGTCACCCTGTTCCTCCCAACACCGTGATTTGTTATCATAACCTGTCGGAGAGGTGGCCATCCAAAGTCATTATTGTACAAAACTTATTGGCTGTTTTGACTGCACAGAGAACAAACCATAAAGGTGAGGGATAGAGGAATTAAAAGGCTGCGAAATAAACAGTCCTTATTCTTTACATCCACCTCTAAAAGGAGGTCATATTGGAGCCTGAAACGCCTACCAATCCTTTTCTGGGAGGAACAGTGTGTCCATGAAATTTTGCTCTTCTTTCGCATTGCATGCACCCACTGGAAAATGGCCCAGTCTTCTGAAGCAGAGCTTTAAAAGTAACTTTGTGGAAGGAACACATCACTCATCAGCAATTATTTTACTTTCCACCTACTTCTCCTGTGACTTTATCTGTCCCAGTCCTTGCAGGGAGGAATTATTCTCATCTACATAGCCCGTGCTTGGAGAGAGGAAGGAAGACAGAAGCATGGAAAAGGCCCAGGTAATTATGCATACATGAATGAGGGTACAAATGCTGGTTAACCGTGGGTGTTAGAAATATTAAGGATCAAGCCTTCTGCTTTTGAAGTTTGCGATGCTGGTTGAAGCAGATTTCCATGATGATTGTAGCTGCCATGCATACTAAGCATTGTGGAGATCCAGGTGCTGGCATGACTTGTTCTTCTGGGAGCAATCTTGAGTTGACATTTTTGTGCAGATGCTCTGCTGCAAACAAACATCCAGTCAGGCCTCAAACTGTAGAGATAATAGATACTCTCAACAAAAGAACTCCAATCTTGATGGTGATTACTTTTGTGCAAATTTATACTGTCATAAGAAAGTTTGACATGATAGAGTATGTTGGTGTGGCACTTCCTATTGATGGTAACTGGATCTATGACATCTATATTAATCCATCACATGTATGTTGTAAGCCTGATAAGATGTATCACTTGACTTTACATAGTTCTAATTTGTTTGACTGACTGCTTAGCAGTTCCACTCAAAGAAATACTGCAATATTTACCTCAAAACGATCTATGCAAATCTGCTTCAAATAATGTACAGAGAAAGAAAAGGAAGCAATGGTTTCAATGTTCCAAATGGTCCTGTAGAACATTTTGCTGACCACATAATAATACTGCAATGTTTCAAATAGCATAAAAAGCTAAAGACAACAAAGCAAGCAACACTACCACCTTTTCCCCATTAAAAAAGACAGTAACATAAAATTTCCAGTTATGTACTAGAATAATCATCACAGAAGCCAAACTATGTTAGTTATCAGTACAAAATAACCTAATGGCTATTAGACCAAACTAAACAATGGTTAGGAAATAATAAGTTAATAACTACCCATTATCAAAATTGATCACAAGCCCATGGAATGCATTATATGCAGACCCCAACCACACAGCAAATGTGTCAACCAAACAGTTGACCTAAACCCTGTGATAACATCGATAGAAACATCTAAATAACTCCAATTATATAATTTGCTACCCTATGTTTGTTCTCATTATTAATTTTTCCTGTAGCTAGATTCTCCCATGCAGAAGTCCCCATGATGTGTCACATTAACCAACACCCATGATTTTAAAAAGA